AGAAATACACACTACCATTCCTCCACTGCCCCTCCTTCATCCAAAATCACCACCACCACCAACCCACCCCCAAGTCTAACCCACTGAGTGATGTTGAAATTATTTTTCCCCCAAACAGAGTCCTGATTCCTGTACCTCTTGGTGCAAAAATGTTCCCCAACCAGCTTCCCTCTCTCTCTCTCTCTCCCTCTCTTTCTCTCCCTCTCTCTCTCTCTCTCTCTCTCTCTCTCAATCTCCCTTTCCAACACACACTCACACAGTCAAGCGGGAAAACATGCATCATAACATATATTAGAACATCATTCAGATTGTGGGAATGAGCGTCATCGATCTCTGTGCTGTCTCTTGTCCAGCGCTTTCACCTTGGAAACTCAGTATTGAACAGGTGCAGCCTGAAAAACATATGTGCATCTTGATGATGCTTTCTGAGTATCTGGGCCTAAACTGGTTCAGGTTGTCGCCCAACATTCTGTTTGTCTTCTAAGGAGCTATATCATGCCATAGTCTGTGCTGCTGTGGCATCTCAGTGATGAACAACCTTCTTTTGTGGCAGAACACTTTTCTTCCGAGATTTCCATCACATGCTGCAAATGTTCTTGGATTTGTACACTAAAGGCCTGCACATAGTCGTGAGTTAAAGGAAGAGTCGTACTGGGATGATTCTCCTTAATAAGGAAAGGGTTCATGGGCCGAATTACAAAATGGTAGAGATTTATTTTATTTACGTAACAATTGGAAATTTGATGTATTTGGCAAATCTTTGATATCAGTAGAAATACTGCCGCCAGTTGCCTGTACTTGATACAAGGAACTGATCCAAGACTGACTTTAAATAAATGGCTGTTAACTGTTGCAATTTCTGGATTCGCAAACATTCCACGGAAAGCCTTCGACATGCTTCACATTGTCCACAATAACTCAGAGATACACTAAATCTTTAAATAACCATTGCCCCTTGCCCATGTCCATAGGAGGTGAGCATATGCCAGGTGTGATAGGCTGTGTAAGGGTGATAGGATATTTTGATCACCCTACACACAGCCCAGTCACAAGGATCGTTGCCTGTAGGTGCAGGTTGAGATTCGCACCAGAGTGGTTGCAATGAGCATCACTATCAGGATTCCCATGGACCAAGTATTTGAAAGCAGCTGTTACACCACATCATGGCGTCAATGCATTTACTCTCCTCACCTCAAGTAGAGTGACGGTGGGGTAGTAGAAAATATTCAGGAAGAAGAAAATGATGTAGTTGGAAGCAGTAGGCCAGAGGCTGTCACATTGAACTGCTTGAAAACTTTCCAGAATTATCTCGATTGGGAAAGCTGTGAGGACAAATACGGGCAAATATCTTCAGAGCGAAATGAATCCTGAGACAATTCTTATTTTTCCTGTTGAATTATTAATGTATTTTCAGTTTCATAGTCAATCCCTTTGTTAAGCTGCACAGAAACATATGCAGATTCTTCCAAACTTTTAATAGGAAGAGAAATAAAGAAAACAATTGTTTCATTGTTTGTTCCTCTCAATTATAGAATTTAGAGAAGAATCTGTGGAACACTTGTCAAAAATTTGAGGAAATACATAAGGAAGGAAATGCTCCCATTGGGATTGTGCTCGTCGTAAAAGGACAGATCTACTCCAATGCTCCAATTCCACCTTCCTGTCTGTTCTATTGCAAGTTCACATCGTCACTGTTCAAATACCATTTAGAATTCCTTTACATTTTGATATTGAAATGATGAACAAGGCTGAAACTGATAGATTTTTAACAATAGAGGAATTAGGGGATATGGGGATAGGGCAGGTTATTACAGTTAAGTCTGAAGATCAACCATGATCTTATCAAATGGCGGGGCAGGCTCGTGGGGCCGAATGGCCTAATCCTTCTCCTAATTGTTATGTTCTTATGTTCTCGGTATAAAATTCGACTGAGCTTTTATATTTCACGGTGATTTTCCTGGATGTTTTATATGCTTGTGTCGCCTTTCACTGCATCATTCTTTAAAAAATTAATAAATTTGAAAGATTGTATTTGCTTATCTTCCCTTTCTCTTTTACCGTCTCTTTTTCGAGAGCAGCCACAATGTTTGAAGCGGATCCTCATCACTGTAACGTCAATCACAGGCGTCATCTTTAGTGATCTTTGTGAATCTCCCAAAAATCCTCTCAGCTGCTCGTATATCCTCTGTTTAATTAAATGCCCAGAACCGCAATCTGTACTCTACCCAGAATCCTACTAACTTCATACTTAATTGACATTCATATTCATATTTAATTGACCTTTTGAAATATGGTCTATCGACCTATGATCCAAATATTCCACACTGCCCTGAAACAGAAGGTTTTCCTGCTGATTTAATCAACAAGTGCAATTCCAATTGAGCTAAAAGATCTGTAATTTTAAGCAATTGCCCATGTTGCTCCTGACTGTGACCCACACTGCTATTATGCTATCATCAATAATTCTACAAATAGTAACATGTCGATTTGAAAACCGTTCATATTATAGTAAAGCAGTGGAGTATCCGGCAAAACCGTCTGTGTAAATCAACTAAAGTAACTCAGGATTAAGTGTAACAGGATTCTTCCAGAGCGATATTGAGTGTGTTGGCCTGGGTGAGCGTGAGTGGTTTGTGAGTGTATGTGGGCATTGATGGATGCGAGGGAATCTGGGTTTTTGTGGGTGTGTGCGAATGTGTATGGTCCTTGTTGAGTGTGAGTGCACGTGAGTATGTGTGTCTGTGTGTGTGTTTGTGTGTGCCTGTATGCAGTTGTGTGTGAACCTGGGATCTGAGTGTGTTTGAGTATGTACGGATTTCGGTGACAGTGTGTGGGCCTGCATGGAATTGCTTATGTGACAGTGTGTGTGAGCCTGCATGGAATTCAGTCTGTATAATTGTGTGGGAGCCTTGGTGGATGTGAATGTGTAGGTGTGGGATGCTGGATGTGTGCGTGTAAGTAAGTGTGAGTCGGCCTGGTTGCGTGTGAGTTTGTATGGAACTGGATGGAATCCTATTTGTGTGAGTGTCTCGGCCTTAATGGATGTAAGTGTGAGTATGTGTTGGCCCCTGTAATTGTGTGTGCGGGAATGTGTGAGTACTTGTTTGGGTGCGAGTATGTGCGAGTTTGTGTGATCCGAGGTGGATGTATGAGTGTGTGAGCCTGGGTGGATGTGAGATTGTGTGTCTGTGTTTGTGTGAGTCTCTGTGTTTGTGAACCTGGGTGGACATGTGAATGATTGTGGGTGTCGGTCGACATGATTGTGTGTGTGAGGGTGTGTGGATGTGAGTGTGAATCAATGCGTTAACTTACAATGTAAAAGTACGGCTAAGCGTGTGTTTAAGTGAACATTTTCCAGTACCCGGAACAGTTCTGTGTAAGAAGTATTTACTCTAAAGGAAATGTAGTATAAAAGGTCGCTGCTTTCAGCAGAGATGCTGTTGCATGCGGATTGCGATGCTATTCGGTGGAAACAAAGGATCATGGAAAGGAACAGGTGTAGCTGACTTGTGCAATTCTAAATGAAACTGCAAATAAAATCTAGTCCTAGATTGGGTGGTAGCAATTAATGTAGATTAATTTGGGAGCATTAGCGCCTTTTTTTGATCAACCCTGTTTCTGACACGTGTTAACCCATCAAACTGCTTAATAGCACACATACCAATCTGATAGTTCCATTAAATTGATGTTCAAATCGCCTCAAAGAAAGATTGTATCTCTCCTTATTATAGAAGTTGTCGGTGTAATAAGTTGTAAATCATGCCCGCTGTAGCTGACTCATCAGTGCAACTGTAATCTCTATATGAGTTACTTTGTCATGAAACCAAACAGTCAATGCAATGTTAAGGAGGTGCATGCCTAAACGATAAAGAAAAATGGTATTGAGAGACACTCATTGACAGGCATTGACGCTGTCCTTCAGGACAAGGGAAATGTTTACAACACTCGATTTTCCACTAGATTTATTAACCTTTCTGGTCAGGGTCTTCAGTGGGAATGTTTAGGCCTATTAGATCCAAAATACTATTGTATTGCAGCCCGTGAGGTTTATGTCGTTATCAATAACAATGATAAGTATCACTGTGTTTGGTTCAGTGTCTCTCACACCAGCAGGACGTCCCCATGATTTTCACAGTATGACCTGTGAAGAGGTGTATGGGCCAACGTCGCAGCAGGAATTTGGGCTTTATGGTCTCCAATTGAGGTGCTGCCCTGGTCAGATTGTCCAGCTCAGCACAGGCAGGAGATAAAGCTCTGTCGATGTATAAAACAGATTGCGCTCTCACATTTGCTATAAATACTGTAACACAGAGCTGCATGTTACTATATTGGAATAGTCATGTGTCTGATGCTGTGTCTTGGTGAGGGGCTGATCAATATGGGAAGGAAAAAGCTGCTGTTCACTGGAGCGAAGAACCATCTCAAGCGGAACTATCATCGCCTTTAGTGTTCTCAGCACAGCTGCAACTGAAGTTTGACATTAAATTCAACAGTTTTTGTTTAATGCTGATTTACTGGGAATCAGAATAATTTGGAAAGCAACGGCAAGGCACAATTGACACAAAGGGAACAGGAAAGAGGAAACAAACAGATCATTGAATTTGTAATATTTTTATTGATGCTTCTGGCAAACAACAGACAGAATGTGGAGATAATATGAAACCGGAGCAGAATCAAAAATTCAGCTTCAGATTAAAATGAGAGGACAAATTATCTCAGCCACTAACTTTCTGTTTCTTTACACGAAAAAATGGGAAACAGCAAATAGAGAATATCAGAGAGGCGTAACAGTAACAACTTCAGTTATTGTTACCTAAAGGCACATTGTAAAATAAACTAACAATAACAAAAGCCACTAATATTCAAGTAGTTGCACAATACAATGTTTAATTTAAGTGATTTGCACAATGAGTGAAAAAAGGCAGCGCGTAATCTTTCACACGACGCTGTTGTTAAGCACAAACGGACGGGACACATCGTTGAAGCTGATCTTAATGAATTCATTTTACCTGGAAAATAAAAATAAAGATGTCATGATATTCAAGCTTGTGTTTATAAGTGTATATCAATCCAAACAGGTAAACACACACAAACATACCAACATACGCCTAATAATAATCCCTCCCAAAAACAAACAAAAAAAAAAATTGGTCATTTTGAATCCATGACTGTTTGTGTGACATTGTTGTGCGCAATCGGCTGCCGCGTTGGCCCACAAATATACACTCAATTCACATTACAGTATGTTCTGTGAAGCGCTTGGTGACGTCCTCCCGAAGTGCAAAGAGCTATATCAAATGCAAGGAGTATTATTATTATCATTGTTATGCACACACACGGATACACAAGGGTCCAACTGATTCTGTGTGAATTTGTATTTGTCTGCTGGGGCCTGACACAGACAGTAATCCTTGCACCTTGCCTGTGTCTATAGCAGGTGAGCATATGCCAGGTGTGATAGGGTGTGCAAGGGCGATGAGATATTAGGATCACCCTATACACAGCCCATTTACAAGAATCTTGGCCTGTAGGTAGAGTTTGAGTTTGCCAACAGAGTGGTTGCAATGAGCTTCACTATTAGCCTTTCCATGCACCGAATATTCAACAGCAGCTGTTGCACGACATCGTGGCCTCAATGCATTTACTCTCCTCACCTTAAAAAGAGTTACGATAGCGCTGTAGAAAATGTTAAAAAAGAAGAAGATGATGAAGGTGGAAGCAGTAGGCCAGAGGTTGTCACACTGAACTTCTTGAAATCCTTCCAGCATCATCTCGTTTGGCAAATCTGTGAGGTTATAAAGAGGGAAAAATCTTCAGAGCGCATTGACAACTCAGACATTTCTTGTTTTTCGTGTTATATTATTAACGTATGTAGAGATTCCGAGATATTTAAGGGCTCTCTCCGTCTATTAAACAACACTGAACTTCATACCATTTCTTCCAAACTTTTAATTCAAAGGCAAATGAAGAAAAACATTATTTTATAGTATATTCCTCTCAATATAGATTCCGCGGAAGAATTTGAGGAACACTTTGGGAAAGCTCAATTTGAGGAAATGCAGAAAGAAGGAAGTTCTCCCATTGAGACTCTGTTGGTAGTGAAAGGACAGATCTAATCCAATCCTTCAATTCCACCTTTCTTTCTGCCCTATTGCAAGTTCACATAGTCTCTGTTCAAATATATTTGAAATTCCTTTACATTATAATGCTGTGGTGAAGATTTCTCTATTCTAAACAATTCTCGATATAAAAATCGACTTTGCCATTATATTTTACAGTGAATTTCCTGGACCACTTATACCCATTTTTATGGATACAATCGCCTTTCGCTGTATCAGCCTTTCAAAACTTAAATACATTTGAAAACTTGTATTTGCTGATCTTCCCTTTCTGATTTACCTGCTCTTTCCTTTCGAGAGCAGCCGCGCTATGTGAAGCTATTCCTCAACACAGTAACGTCAGTCACAGGTACCATCTCTATTGACCTTTGTGAATCTTCCCAAAACCCTCTCAGGAGTTCTTATTTCCTTTGTTTAATAAAATGCCCAGAACCGCACACTGTACACCACCCATAATCCTGGTAAATTTATGTTTAATGAACAGTCGATTGCCCAACAAAAAACACAGGGTCCATTTTTACTGCATTTGATATGCGCTCCCATTGACTATTACTCCAGGTTTTCCACTCGTCACTTATAACAGAAGCAGTTACTGATATTGAACTGCAATTCCACTTTTCGGCCAACTCTGCTAAGGGGTCTGCAATCTTACACAATTGCCAAAGTTATTCCTGACGGTGTCTAACAACGCTATTAGACCATCATCTCTTTTATCATGGATAGCCATGTCGATTTCACAATCGTTAATATTATTGTAGGAACCGGCACGAACGTCTCTGTAAATTAACTAAAGTAAATGAGGATTAAATTTAAAAAGGTTCACCCATAGCGCTATTGATTTTGTATTGGCTTGGGAGAGTGTGCGTCTGTGTGTGTGGTCATTCGTGGATGTGTATATATGTGTATATGTGCGTGTTCCTGCATGTATGTATTTGTGTGGCGACATGGGTTGATGTAAGCGTGTATGAGTGTCTGCCTTGATGGATGTAAATGTGTCAAGTTGTCTGTGTAATTAATTGTAAATATGGGTATGTGAGTGTGTTTAAGTGTGCGTGGGCCTGGGTGAGTGTGAGCTGATGGGGGCCTGGATGGAAGTGGGTGTGTGTGAGTATCTGTGGGCCTTAATGGAAATCAGTGTGAATGTGTCGGCCCAGTAAGTGTGTGTGCGGAAATGTGTAGTGGATTGTTTGGATGTGGATATATGTGCGTTTGTGTGAGCCAGGGTGGATGTGTGAGTGTGTGTGAGTGTGTGTGGGACTGGGTGGACGTGAGTTTGCGTCTGCAAGTGTCTGCATGTGTGGATCTGCGGGGATGTGTGAGTGTATGTGTGTGTGGGCCCTGGGAGGATGTGAGTTTGTGTGTCTGTGTCTCTGTGTGTGTATATGTGTGTGTTTGTGAACATGGGTGGACACGTGAGTGTGTGTGGGCCTGGATGGATATGATGTTGTGTGTGAGTATGTGTGGATGTGAGTTTGAATGATTGCATTTGGTTACAATGTCCATGTATGGCTAAGCTTATGTTTAAATGAACATTTTCCTGTATTCGGATCAGTTTCAATGTGAGAAGTATATACTTTTAATGGAAATGTAGCAATAAAAAGCCGGAGTTTACATCTGCGATGTTGTTACATGTGGAATGCGATGCTATTCAGTGGGAAAGAAAATATGTTGGAAAGGAACAGGTGTAGCTTCACTGTTAGATTCTGAATCAAACTGCAAAGAAAATCCAGTCTGAGTTGGGCTGTAGCAAGTTAAGTAGAATAATTTGGGACTATTAACTTTTTTTGGGTCACACGGGTGCATGACAAGTGGAAACCCATCAACATGATTAAGAGTATACAAACCAACCTCACTATCCTATTAACTTGATGCTAACATCGCATCAACAAATGGATCTACTTGTCCTTGCTATGGAAGTTGACAGTGAAATTAATTGCAAATCATCCTCTCTGTACCTGACACATCAATGCAGCTATAATCTTTATTTGTGTTACTTGTTCATGCAAACAAACAGTCAATGCAATGGGAGGGAGGGGGGTGCATAAGAAAACAAGCAACATGGTACTGAGGGACACTCACTGAAAGGCACTCACGGTGTCCAACAGGACAAGGGAATATTTACAAACACGGTTTACCGCTGAATTTATTAACGGATCTGGTCAGAGTCTTCGATGGGTAAGTTTCATGTCCGACCACACAGGCGTAGGAGTTTCCTCTGTCCCAGTCTCCGGCTGAGATGGACAACATGCTGTACATGGAGTAGTTGCGCTCTGCACTGTCTGGCATCACATCAGTGTTCTTGTAGTTACTGTAATCAATCACCTGGTCATTCTCAGTCCACTGCACAAAGATGTCTTTGGGAGCGAAGTCCTTCACCAGGCAGGTGAGGGTGACAGACTGCTGAGCAGACAATTCTTCTGCCGACGGGAGGAGGAGATACACTGAAGGTTGTTTCACGTGCTCCACTGTTGGAAGAACACAATAGAATCAATAGACTGAAAGGGCTCCATCAGAGAAAACTTTAAAGCATAACAGACTGCAGAATAAGCTGAGATTGATGTGTTTTTCTGTTCAGACTGCGTTCAGCTGTTTGTAATTGCTGGTGCGAATGGGAACACGGATGTTGATTGAAATCTCTCGAAAGCAATTTATTATTTGCACCCAGTGGTTTTCCTATATTCTGGAATTATAATAAACACGTACATTATTTTTCACTCCTCACCTGTCTTCTTAAAAGTCTTCTCTCTGATGGGAGATGGTATATCATCATGGCTGGCTATACAGAAGTATTCTTTACCACTGTTCCAGTCTGATACAGAAATGTTTAATTTACTGATCACTTTCTGAGGTTCAGTGGCAGAAGTTTTCCCATATGCAGACTGCAAATGTGTATTTCCTTGTGTCCAAGTCACGTTGACGTGAAGTGGTGCATTAACCACTACACATGTTAGCGTTACAGAGGAATCCATCAAAACCTGTCGCTGTGCAGGTGGCAGGAAATAGATCTTCACACCTCCAGATGGATCCTCGCATTCTAGAAAAGTAAAAGAAACTTAGAAAGACAAAGAACAGTCCATTTCCAGAATTTCATATTGGGTCAAGTTAAGCAATGACCGCCCATGATGATTCTTACATTCTGGCTCATCTGACCACAGATTATTGTTTCCTAATACAATTATCAATCGTTGATGGAAAAGTTTATTGGAAAGTTGAGCTTTCAAGCTGCCTGAAGCATTGCGTGATATTTGGCCTATTGATTTCCAATTCCCTCCGACGGACAACCGCTCATGATGTAACACATATGATGGATGAGCTGTGACCTGTGTTTATATGTCTATCGCCCTGGTTGATACAAATTGTGATCAGAAAGTTTCAGTGGGAGTAGATGTTGAGGAAGCGGTGGAATATGGACATAACAGCCACAATCCCGTGGACTGTGAGTGATGTCCTGAGCTCCTCGATGAGCAGCAGAATCAGAAGCATGGCCTTTGTTGCTTACCCAATGAATACTGGCGTGAGAATTTGAGGCCCGATTTCCTCATGCCCGTAAAGATCAATAAAACTGGAATAAGCTCGCTTGTGTGTTGTTCCCATTGAAATATCCAAATGGGGCTGAAAGCAATGTATCAATAGAGCTCTCACCAGGACATTTGAAAGGAAAATGAGAGTGACGTTCTCCATGTGTACAAAAGGGAGTTGCTCGTATACTCGCCCCGCTCCTCGGCGGGCTCGACATCCTCCGAGGCACCCCATCTGTGTC